GGAATAAAAAAAATTGTTTCATATATATTTACTGAAAGTAAATTAAATAACTATCGTAGTAAATAAATACAGTAACTACTCGTAATCAGTGAGTATTTCTCACAAGGATTTTATTAGAATAAAAGCAAAACAAATAACAAGATAAAACTAATTAAAAAACTTAATAATTCAACGTTTACTGTAATATTGTGTGAGATAACAGAGAATAATCACAATGAGAAATTAAATAAATTAAAAACGGTAATTACATAAAACTATTTGACAGGGCCGCATTGCATAATCTAGTTTCGAGAGATGATTCGATCTTTAGTTTATGGAGTGGTCTTACGGTCTTTGGTTTTGTAGATGCACGGACAAAGACACAAACGAAATTAATCGAGGTTGTCTGCCGACGTCGTAATTGAATTACACCCTAGCCGATGGCTAGCGCAAAACTGAACTACATCGAACATGAAGAACCGAAGTTGGTGTCGGTTTTACAAACAGTTCTTAACTCGACGAATTCAGTTATATTCGTGCTATTTAAATGAATTACTAGTTAAAATTTTGTAATTTTGCTTTTATCTATTTAAAAGAAGATATTAATAAAATCTAAGAAATATACGATTTCTATAGGAAAGTTTTAGACGGTAAATAGTTAAAAAATTACACATTGTGTAGTGTTTAATGTTTTATAGTAATCATATATTTTTTTGAGTATTATTTACCAAATAATTCCATATTATAACCATTAAATATATAAATAGTTTATTATATTTGATCAATTTTAAATTCACAATTGCAAAAGGGCTGGTGGATTGTTTAAGCGATTTTATCAAGAATAAATAGTATAAATATATCGAAAGAATAAATATATCGAATGATTTTTTTTTTACTTTAATATTGTAAAAAACAAACTGTCTCTCATATTTGACTTAGCAGTATCCTTTGGTGTCTCATAGTTTAGCGACGTCAATTTACGTACAATGTCAATTTGAGCGCGAGGCCGCTCGAGCCGAGCGCCAGGGCTCATTAGGGGCGAGCGGTCGCAATTAAAGCGTGCGTCTTTTGCGCCTTAACGACCGGCCAAATTGGACGCTGGGCCCGGCCCTGGTTCGGCCTTTAATAAATACGTTTCGACAACACGTAATAAATATGTTACTGTGATAATGCATCTTATCCACGTAGCTTGCATATTAGTCTCCTCTAAATTATAGAACGTAATTCAACGATACTTTTAGTTTGGGTTGCACCATTATTACAGTTATAGTTAAGGTTTTTTGTTAAATTTGACAATAGCTCTCACGTTGACTTTAACTCTTTCTTGGAATAGTAAAATCATAACTTTAACCAGTGAAACTTAAGCGGTTATCTTCTCTTTTAAACTATCGCGCTGCATTATTAAATACTTATAATACCGGGTATTAGACGCGATTTTACACTGACCTGCGCCGACGTCTCGTCGTGTCCACGGCCGGTGCAACCCGGCCGAAACTTTAAAGCAAGTTGGTGCAACAATCCCTTAGTGTTTCTTATCATTTTTTGTTCCAGTTATTAAATTTAAATTTTAAAAAACAATTGTAAGTATGAGTAGACAAGACACACAGTGAATAGTTGAATCATCCAGGCTGTTGAAAATGCGGGGGAGTTATCCAGTGTTAGTGGCTGTAAGAAGTTGGTATTTTACAGGGTCTCGTTAGTGGAGCAGCACGCGGGTACGGGGAGGGGGTGAGGTTGATTGCCGATTGAGCGGCAATTGCCTTGATTGACGGAGCCCGCACGCGCACTAACGAACCTGCTTTCAACTGATAGGTGGACGTGCCTCGTTGTAGGGACGCTTTACAAGAGTACAAGAGCTTTGGCGCGAAGCATTTTAAATATTAACCTTCGGCTAAATAATTGTTGGTAGCATTTAATTATTTTTATATGAATCCGCTAGTTAAAAATAAATATAAAGTAACAATGCTCTACAATTTGTCAGCTGTGTGAAAGTTTAATATACACATTTATTTTTATTTCGGCAAATTTGTAAATATTTTGTCTATTCCGTCTGCGAATGTTACATTGATATGATATGTTAAAAATCACGAAGACATTAAAATAAATTTCATTAATTTGAAACATATTTATTTTTATTTTTAAATAAATTTTGTAGTACTGCTACGTGCTACGGTCGGCTTCTGATTGCTGCTTGAATTCAAATAATTTGGATCGACTGACGTCGGTCCCACAGGTATTTGGTTGATTTACTCGCAGACGAGACATTGTGTAGCTCCGGTGAACACATGTAAACAACATACTACGTGGCGGTATTAACGCCTTCATCCAAACAATAGAGACGTTATAAATCATTATAAAACTCGTATTAAGCCGGCTTAATGTTTATATAACGCTTCCGTTTTGACGGCGTACGTGGCACCTCGACGACTAATTTCGTGCGTACACAGTAATCAGTAGCACGAAACATCATCAGCGTCTTTGTGGAGCGAGACCGCAATCCATCATATCGGGACAAAAGGCGTCGGATAAACGCGGCAGTTGTTTGCGTGAGTGAGCGTTAATTTCGTTAAGGAGTCTCAATCAGGGAAGGCGTGTAAGTAAAGTCGGCGGGTGGCCGCCGCGGGAGCGATTCGAGTGAATTACCGCACCTGGAGGCGCGGGGGAGGACTCGTTAGTTGTTGTTTGCCGAGTGACGCGGGTCAATCAGCAGAGACATGCACGGAACCGCACTTCTTCATCCCCCGGCCCCGGCGCCCGGCAGCCGCCCCGCTCGTTAGCCCACGTTCTCTCTGTCAACTGCGAGACGAGCTTTATCGAATCTACGACGCACGACTCGCGGTCGGCCCACATTTCGTTCTAGTTTGGCTCAACCGCTGGTAAACAAGGGAAATCAGTGTAAAACGAATTATGTATGAACGCCAAATACGGGGATCGAGTGACGAGTTTACGTTTCTTTATGATTGAATTGGTGATTGTAAAACAAGGAAAGGTGGGGTCGGTTAGCGGCGAAGAATCGTGTGTATTTAGCTAATTAGCTGTTCGTGGTACCGTGCCACGCCGCCGCCGCGCCACCGGCAGATGTTTTCCATGCTTCCGTGTAGGGGTGGTGCCATCTTTTTCAGAATGCACAAGAGTAAACAAGATAAGACTATTTTATCACTATATAAGATTTATTATCTTATATAGTGAGATATATTTTATGAGACAATTTTACTTAATCATTTGCTGGCAACGAGAAATCCTGAAGTGCAGAAGACGCCCGGATTGCGGAAGGTGTCTATTCAATTCTCGACAGTTTTCTGTGTCATATTTTTAAACGTTTAATCGTATTAAATTTAATAATAATAATGTCCGTAGAACGTAGGAATTAATCTTGCTAATTAATTAACTAAAAAGTTTTTCTTATTTCAATCAATCTTAAATTTTAATTGGCTAGGTTAAATTGGAGATTAACTGTGAAACGATTAACAAAACTAATTAAACCTATTTTAATAAGTCTTGTAATATATTTATAGTCAAAAGTGACATGTGCTTTATCATATCAATTAATTTAATAGTTTACGTTGGATTTTAATAGTTTACATCTCACTAGGAAATCATAAAGGGTAATTGGTTGCAAATGTTTCTTACGATTCGGACCGTCTAATGATCAAGTTTTGTATAGGCGGAATATATCAAATGAATTGCTTATGTACCCTCTATTACACACAACAGTCGATGGTTATTCATAACTTCGCAACGGCACATTAAATTACCATAATTGGTGACATTGTAGTAACGCGAAACTATTTGTATTGACAAAAAAGTAAACATAAATTAGTTTTCAAATATATTTTCTCAAAGAGTTAGCTGCTCGTTCTGTATCCATTTTATTTCATTCTAAATTAATCCTTAGCGTTCTAACGATGCCAATTTAGCTGAACCTAGTGACGCAGTCAGTTCGTTGTGTGCAAAACTGATCACTTTTTGTTCTCCCCTCAGGTAGAAAATACAACGGGTACGAACCATTTTCAATAACAATGCGCCCGCGGCTTTCTCGGTATACTTTTTTGGGCGTTCGATGCGTTTGACAGACATGCTATTGTCATCGCAAGATGATGGTCTAAAAACTGAGAATTTTTATCGATGATCAGTGGGAAAGATCGATTGTTGCTCGGATATACCGTATTTAGAGATGTAACTGGTACTAATTAGCGGTGCCTCCAGCGCAAAGGGTCAGCCTAATCGAATTTGGAAGTTCATTAAATTCATTCGGCGGCGGTGTGCAAAAAAGTAACGTCTGCATGCAGAAGCACACACGCGCGTGTTAAGATTGCAAAGTTGAAGCTAATTTTTAATTACGGTTCTATGTATGGATAGCAAAAACTCACATTTGAAAGGGTTTGGATATGTGAGCCAATTTATATGTTGTTCAAGGTTTAACAGCACATTGACTTATATTTGTTTACACAATTGAAGTATTATGAAAAAAGGTAGCTTCAAAGTTTATTAACATAATAAGGTTTTGGAAATCTTTACCTACGCGAGTAGTCTGTGGTGAATTGGTAGATCTTCTTTAATTTCCGTGTATACAACACTACACACCATTCTTTTAGATATTAACTTTTGCACTAAATATAAGTAAAAAATCTTCCTTTATAACCATTTTATTGTTAAAAGTAGCAATAAGTCTCCGAAACTGATAAAGTTTCTTATATTTAGCATTTTTGTTTCAATAGAATGCAACGCTGGATGCGGGAGGCACAGGACCGATCACGTTGGAGATCATTGGGGGAGGCCTATGCCCAGCAGTGGGCGTCTCTCGGTTGATATGATGATGATGTTTCAATAGAGATATGTTAGTATTATCGGACTTTAGAAAATAATATTTACTACTCTCACGACATATCCATATCTGTACTTTCTGTTTTCTTTACAACAATATCAGATTATTTATTTGATCTTGTCCACGTTAATTTATAAATTGCTCTTCTACTTCTATTAATGGAGATAGGACTGTAAAAAAATGATTATTAACTCACCTCGTGTAATCGCTTTTGCATAGGATCATGCCTCCTTTGAAGTAGAAGGATCGACCCATGTCCGCCAACGCTTGCCCGCAGCAGGTACACTTCAGGCAACCGTGGTGCCAGTACCGGTCCAGTGCGTGAAGTAGGAACCTTTCGACGATCTTGCCACCGCATCCCGCACACTCCTTTATTTATTAAAACGTTATTAAATCCAAAGAAATTATAATTATTAGTCAGTGATTTCAAACTAAACCGTTGACAGATATTGTAATACATCTCATACATGTAGTTCGGTGGTGCAATGGTACATTATTATTAAGCAAGGGTCGTAATGAAATGGGTGACCAAAAAATATTATCTCGTGCTACTCCGTGCTTCGGAAGGCACGTTAAGCCATTGGTTCCGGCTGCATTTGAAGTCGTTAATATCCTCCAATCCGCATTGGGCCAGTGGAGGGTCATGGCCCATCCTCCTTAACCATCCATAAGGAAGGCCTGAGCCCCTGCAGTGGGGACGTAAAAGGGCTGACGATGAATCCGCATTGGGCCAGCGGAAGGCCATGGCCCATCCTCCTTAACCATTCATAAGGAAGACTGTGGAGACACTAAAAGGTTGATGATGGTGTTAGTTTACTCATACGGTTCTCCATAAAACAATTTGGTAACACCAAAAATAACACTGATGTTGACATAAATTGTGGTGTTGATATTCAATGTATTTAATATTTTTAGTTTTAATTAACACAAATAAATAATACAAGATTTATTTCTGATTTCATATTTCAAGTACATTTATTAATTTTAATGAAGTCTGTTGCAAAAAACTTACGTACAAATTGGTGTTGTTATATTATTATGATGCTAGATTATTGTTAGAATAAGTGGCCTTCAACGGCTAGATTTATTTTTATTTTTGTTTTAGTTGTTAACACAATGTAGAATGTCACGTATTTATAGCAGTGACGTGAGCTTAGTTCATATATATTGCTTCATAGAAGATTGTTAATTTAATAGGGTTCTGGCATTTATATGTTTTTCGCAATTAAAGTGATTTTGTCACAGATTGGTTGATATTAAAATAAAATGTAATAGTACCAGCGTTTTCTGACACCTATATGCATTAATTCGTTTTAATCACTGAAATTGCAGCATGTTGTAGAGCTCAAGGATAAAGTCCAGAACTTAAAATAGAAAAAATACTATGCTTGTATTTCAGTCTCAGATCACAATCAATCGCATATACGTTATTTATACGACATCCCGACATGTTGAGATTGGCATGGCGGTACGTTTGAGTATGGCATCTATTCGGATGCGAAGAAAAGTGAAAACATGTGCATGATTTTGGAATCTTTCTGGAAGCTTCTGCTTTTTAGCTTTTCATATCCAATCTTATCGAATAAAACACCCTCATTTGGTCAATTTATACTTACTGAAGTATCACTAATTGTTTTTCTGCGACTAGATTTATTTTTATTTTTGTTTTAGTTGTTAACACAATGTAGAATGTCACGTATTTATAGCAGTGACGTGAGCTTAGTTCATATATATTGCTTCATAGAAGATTGTTAATTTAATAGGGTTCTGGCATTTATATGTTTTTCGCAATTAAAGTGATTTTGTCACAGATTGGTTGATATTAAAATAAAATGTAATAGTACCAGCGTTTTCTGACACCTATATGCATTAATTCGTTTTAATCACTGAAATTGCAGCATGTTGTAGAGCTCAAGGATAAAGTCCAGAACTTAAAATAGAAAAAATACTATGCTTGTATTTCAGTCTCAGATCACAATCAATCGCATATACGTTATTTATACGACATCCCGACATGTTGAGATTGGCATGGCGGTACGTTTGAGTATGGCATCTATTCGGATGCGAAGAAAAGTGAAAACATGTGCATGATTTTGGAATCTTTCTGGAAGCTTCTGCTTTTTAGCTTTTCATATCCAATCTTATCGAATAAAACACCCTCATTTGGTCAATTTATACTTACTGAAGTATCACTAATTGTTTTTCTGCGACTTCATCCGTATAAGTTATAGCCTATGTCACATGCATTTGATGTAGCTTCCCGTAGTTTAAAGATTTTTTTGTAGCCTATTCAACGCAAACAACAATCAAACCATTTCTCTTTATTATATGCAGACATTTTATGCAACTTTTTACAATTATGAAATGTAAAAATGAAAAGTTCTTCTCCATGCTCATTGAAGGTCAAGTTTCTTATGCAACTTCTTTTCATATTTAAATCTTCGTTATATAATTAATTTTTTACCTTTAATGCCGGGTTGTTATTATTATGCGGGTAGTCGTGACCATTGGCGAAGGCCGCCTCCGGCGAGGGCGGGTGAGGTGAGCTGAGCTCCGCGTACCCGTGGTAGTGCGGGTTCATGCTTAGCGCACTCGCTGCCAGCTTGACGGTTGGAGCGGGAACCGCTCGCCGACCACCACGACTACACGCCCTGTCGACAAAATTATTCTGGTCAGATAACATCAGGAGCTCAATGGCTTAGTGATTATCGTGTTCTGTAGGCAATTATGAAGCAAAAGGTAATCGTCAGTCATTGTATGGGTCTTTCGTGCTTTGGAAAGGACGTTGTCTACAGTACTGTCTGCATCAGCGGTCGCTCACATTCCTCAAATCTCACTTAGCCTGCGTAATCCTACGTGATAGATTTTATCTATAGAGAATAATAATAAAATAACATGCACATTCCTATAATATCAATTGTAGTAATCTACAATTACTTGTAAAGATAAAATTATTCCTTTATTTCACAAATTTTGTAGCTGTAAGAGTTACAGCTGTAGATTAAAATTAAGGTCAAAGATTAACTGGTGGTGATGTGTTAAAAAAGTTGTTTGTTGTGAATAATAATTATGTTCAAGTATCATTGAGTAGGCATCAATAGAAACAGACCCGAGAAATGTAGATGACTACTAAAGATTAATTTTCACGAAAAAGTGCCTCGTGGAACGGCAAATTTTTATAATATTCGAGTAGACGATTACGCCTAATGAGTTAAATATAATAGGCACCAGCAATGTACGCATTGAATGTTATTCCGAGGGGAAGATTGTATAAGAGGTTGACCCTTTGATTATTTTTCTCGGACAGAGCACGAATTCGGTAGAGGCCTGCGGGTCGCCGCGTTATAAAATTTTCCAATTAGCAATTTCATACAATTAGGAGGGCGGCGGGAAGCGGGGCAAGGGGTGAGTGGTGCGTCAACCCGATCCAATTAGCTCGCGGCCGGCGGAGCGGCGGGACGCCGTCTGAGCGGCACTGTCGCCATAAAACTTAATTAAACGTTTTAAAACAAGTATTCATTAAAGAATAATCAAGCTTATGTAGTCATAAATAAGCGGATTGTCCCGCTCGGAACGGGTGCCGTAATTAAGACTGCACAGAGTTGATCAAACGCACTGATTTGAAACTACCCTTCATTAAGAGCGCGCGAGTCAGCCGGGAGCTTCCGCTGCGGTGCAGAAACTAATTAAGAATAACGGACGCTTTAAAAGCGTAATTAATTTAGATTGTAATTCTATTTCTCCGAGAGTAAAGTAGACAATTATTTCAGTAGCCCTTTCTTTTGGAACGATTTGCTCTGCTGAATGTAATTTGCTTAATTTCTGTGTCTGACGTAATGAAAAGGTTGTAGTTACATCTGGATTAATTAATTGCAATAGAGAGATTTTGGAGTGGAAAAGGAATTAATCATAATTATTTGAATGGCTCATATTTTTTGAGTGAGTTGACCCCTACAAACCTTGGTAAATATCAGGAATTTACTATCTTTGGGCTCTCCAAAGAAGCGTGTAGAAAGTCATTAAGAACTGTATGAAGCAACACGTCTAATGATGGGTGTACCGTCGTGGGGTTTAAAGCTACCGTGGCGTGTCACTTTAGTTGCGTGTCAGCTAATGAGCGGCGTCGCGTGCGCACCTATCGTCGTTCGTTAAATCGCAACCGGCATGGGATGGGACCCCTGGACAAATGTTTTGATAATTTGGCCTGTTTCAATTGGAGTGTAGCTTGATAAAGCGAAGTATATCCTATGTAAATTAACTTTAGAAAATCAGACAGCTACATTTACTTATTTATTTAATTTGGTCTACAAACGGTTGCAACATTAAAAAAAACAGCAGTAATTATAAACAAACGTAACATAACCAAGCAAAATCCAATTATAGATGGACACAGCTTTATCATTTACGGTGTGACAATTTATAGTCTGGTGAAAGAACATCATAATTAATAAAACCTCCGCAAGGGCCAGTCACAAAATGGGTAGCCAAAGTTTATAAAGCACATTAAGACTTTGGTCTTAGCTGTATCTGGACACAATCCTTTCCATTTTCGATTGCGATATGGAAGGCTTATGTCCCAGCAGTAGAGTTAATAGGTCAATAATGATGATGATAATAATAAATTATTACTAAATAAAAATCTTTCATTTGTATTGTAAGCGATTGATTATCCACTAATAGATAATCAATTGATGTATAAAAATAAAATAATTATGTTGAAGGAAGGTTTTTTTCACAATGTCTATAATATATGGATACAAGTTAATGAAATATGAGAATCTAGGAAATTAATTTTCACAATCTATCAAATAAGTAATTGCAAACGAGAGACATCGTAGAGATGACGAATGAAAATTGATTCGATAAACCGTTGAGCGGAGTCGATTGTCTCTCAGTCGAGGCGTCGGTATCGGATCTAGAGCTATGTTGGACATCCATCGAATACTGCTGTTGATAGAGTGCGTTGCAGATTGCTTGTAAACAGAGTAGCGAGTAACTGTACTATTTGCATACGTCTAAAGATATATGTACAGAGGTTTAACAGAAACTTTTAAAAATAATAATGTTTTATTTAATTCTCAACTCTTTGAATCTCTTTGAAACTCTTTGATTGAGACCTTTGAATTTATTTTTCAAATCAATTGAGTTGCATGAAATAAAAGTTTAAAAACACACATCGCCGTTGGACGTATTAGCTCCTTCTTAGCTCATATTTTTCGATTTTAAAATCTGCAAAAACGTAGAAAAATCTGTAGAGACAATGGCCACAATAATTCTTACATAAATATATTTATAAATTATAAATATATTTATAAATTATAAATATATTTATAAGGTAAATTGCTTAAAAATTGTTGAATGTAAAGGGAAAAGATCATCACGTAAATTATGAAACCCTACTTTAAAATTCATTGTTCATAAATAAAAAATAATAATGTCAGCTTACACGAAACGAAATTGTGTATAATTACTCAAGCTTGTGTCTGTTCGGGAAGGATTTTGGGTATGTTATGAAATGGTTTCTGTTGCTAACGTGTTAAAGTTTCATTTCGTTTGTTATTTTTCGTTACTGTTGGTGCGTGCTTAGGATTGTAGGGGTGTCCTGAGAACCTAGCAGGTGGTGTTTTCATTATTCAGGGTTCATTGATTGGATACTTTGTTGCCGTTTAAAAATCTTATTAGCAACCGCTTCGCCAGCAAACCAGGGTGATGAACCAACTCATATCCCCTTATATACCTGCTAAGTGATTTTTTTCAATTATAACGATGAACTGCAGATTTGAATGTTAACTGGGAAAGTGTAAGTCATCTTGTTAGTATTTTTTTTTTCTTCCTATTTGTCAGTGCAATAAGTACGGTGACTTGGCAACATTTTTCAAACACCTTTTTTCAATAATCTTTTCTTGTTGAAGGTTCGCTTCATAAATACGTGAATCTTTTGTCAGTGAACAGTTCCATTGATAGTGAATATTTTAATTGATGACATTTTTTTCATCAATACAAGAGTCAATAACATAATTATGAATCCTTAAATCATATAATAAGATAAAGGAAACGTTAATAAAATTTATTATTATATTTAGTTTTTTCGTGCTTCGGTTCGCGATTTTACCTTTCGCGAAACGGAGTGTTTTGATTCTCGTTGGATCTCTTGATATGGATGCGGCTTATGATCTAGCTCCCGTGCATCTCTTACGATGGTGTAAAATTTGGACGATGATTAGTCTTTCATTTGATCAGTCCATCGAGTTGATGAAGGATCACGTGACTTTCATAACCCATTTAATTGTATAGAAAATTTAAACATCTTCATCATTAGTCTATTAAGAACAGCATTAATCTTATTTCTTTGCGTACTGCAGAAGCGATTTTGGGTGTGCACTCTTTTAATGCGACATAGGCCTTCATATGTCAAATAGGGACTACGAGCCATAACGCGAGCCCAGTGAGGATTGGCGTGTGTAAATTACTGCAGATTTAGCCGTAAATAAGACTTATTAATTAAGTAAGGAGGTCGATAAAATATATTTTTAGTCAACCATTCCATAACCGGCCCTTGTGATAGTTGCTGAACCTCCGCCATCGCAGGCCGAAAACGCTAATTACTCCTCCTCGTCTCATAATCCGATTTGTTTATAGCTCAACTTAAAAGACGGAGTCTTTAAGGACTGTTTTTTCGGATATAAAATGTCTCACAAACCCTTGCCGGACACTTGTTCGGCGAGGGTGCCCGAAGAACAGCCGGCGCTCTGCGAATAACGTAATTAAGCCGAAACCGCCGACGAAATTAAACGCGAAAACGGAATGAGAATGTGAGCCTAATTAGAGCCGGGGGCGGAAAGACGCTGCAGCCCCAGGGACACCATCAAATTTACTCTTTATGGGATAGCTTTGTGAAATACAACAATATCATAAAATGTTGCACTGACACTTTGTTAAATGACTTTCTATGAAATACATTTTTTTAGCTGAAAACAAAAATGGAGTATTGGTATTTAGTTTGAATTATCTTTCACTTAGTTTTTAGTGACATAATAAAAAATGCCAAACTCAAAACAAGAAATATCCTTATACGTTTTTTGTTCGATTGTTAATAAAAAATTAATGTTTTTTATCGCTTTTCCTATATACCTACTGTGCTTTTACTACGATTTCTACTTGTGTTTTTTTTTAATATTACGAAAATACAATGTTATTTTTTAAATTCTACGTAATCAAAATAAAATCTAATATTCCCTGACGAACTGGGTACAGATATTTTCACTACCGATAGTGACAGAACACTGCATTTTTAGGTTTTATTTATAGGTTTTCTTTTTTTTTTGGAGGAAAATAGTAACATTTGCTACTTAAATATGAATATCCTGTTAATGAGATGACTAGATTTAAAAAGATTCTAGAATCGCTTTAAGTATATCTTACTGACTCACTTTAGGTTGGTAAATCAAATATGTCGGTGAAAATATAAAAAAATCTGAAAGATATGAGATGTTTTCTTAAATTTTATTAAATTATTTTAATGAAAGGTACATTTTCTAAAAATATTGGTAACTACTTTGGTAGCATCCGATATATTATTGAATAGAAAATCAAGTCCTTTAAACAACACAAAGTATGGACACAAAAGAGCGTTCCATTCGCCTGCATCGAG